GTCAAAATAACAAAATCCTTGTCCACAGTAACCAGAAGGTAAGGATACTGCAGAAAGTCAATTGTATCTGTAAGAGCTACCACTCTGCATTTAACCCTGGTTATGCTGTGCTTTTACTCACTATCATTGACACTTTCTTAACAAGTTCATTAACAAATACTTTTTGTTTTATTTTTCAAGTGCTGCAACAGTTATGAAATAGTAAAGTATTCTGCAATAACTATTCAGTAAATGCTAAGCATAAAAGGGATAATGGATTATTTGAAAAGAACTGATCTAGATTCATGTTGTCAAGGCAATGTTTTGTTTGAAGTACAATGCCTGAAGACTTGGCTCTTGACTTTCTATGTACAGAACAATTTTCAAGGGCATATTGTCAGAGACAATGGAAGAAACTGAATCTGTTCAACATCAGAAAGATTTCTGAAGCAAATTTTGTAGTGTCTCAATTAACTGTATACAAACTAGGCTCAAGCTAATTTTTTTAGCTTCTTTTAGCACAAGTTCTTAAAAGGGCTCAGAATTAACAGGAGCTAGAACTAGCTAATGTGTTGGAGTTATCTGAATCTTGACCAGTTGAAATATAAACAAATGAAAGGATTGAGATCTTTATTTAGCACAATTTAGGAAGGAGAAAAGGCTACTGAGGAGAAGCCGTGACTCAGAAGGATGAGATGCATTTATCACAGTGTTCCTACCTTTGTTTCAAGGTCATCTCAATCAGTATTTGCTTGAAGACAATTGTCACCAAAGGTACAGCATGCAGTGCATTCGTGATGAAGGGTGTTTAATTTGTATATATAAATATCACGTTTGGAGCTTGGACTTCAAGATATTGGCATGTAGCTGTTGGTTACTTTGTGAAGGGTTTTCTCTTTAAATAGAAACCCTCAAGGTTTGAGAGTCCTTCTGGAACAGTAGTTTAAGCTGCTGTTGTCAATGCTGCTGATAGACAGTCCCACCACAGCCACATGCATTATCACCTGTATAACAGAATAATGCAAACACAGTCAAGGAGCTGGTGTAGATGTTGAACACAAAGCTTTATAAGGAGGCTTCTTGCTTTTGCTAACATGTGCTCCTGTCTGTGTAAGACCAACTGCAACAGAATTAAATGGTAATAAGGTGGTCACATTTTTTAAAAAAAGACAAGCAGTTTTTTACAAGTATAAAGTTCACAGTTAATGTTTTTGAAATGTGACCTTAATTTAGGGTAAAATAGAAGGAACAATGAGACCTGAATTCTATGGATGACAAATTTAATGGTTTGACTGTTAAAGTTTAAAGGGATGCTGTTGTGCTATAAAGATGTAAAGTGTTCACACTTTGAGAAAATGGTGCTAGACCATTAGTCTCCAAAGTCCTAGGAAGGTGATGAGGATGGCAGGTGGCAATGTTATACATTAAACTGTCCACTTGCTTCCAAGATAAAGAAGAGTTAGGGTCTCAAGGATAGCTAACCAGGATTTCTACCTGGATATGTGAACCATGTAATTCATTCTGATTTGGAGATGAGCTTTGAGTGTTTCCTGATAGTTCATGGATCGAGGTAATCTGCCAGGATCTCTATGGAAGAGACTGAGACACCTAGAGACCAAGAGTCTGAGGAATGTTAGCACATGGAGAATGTAGATAGGGGTTTGCAATCAGATTGAAAAGACCAAGAGCTGAATCTTCCCAGTCCCTGAATGATGTAGACAATGGCGAGTCAGTTGGGAAAATATGGTAAGATCAGAAAAATGAGATTTGTGACACTGAAAAAAAAAGTCTGATTTTCATCCAAGGTTTCAACAGCAAAATGAGAATCTCACAATCTATGTGCCCTCTAAGTTTTCCTGCCATTGCGAGGACATCCAAAAACGGAAGTCAATGGGTCCTCATGCCAGGCAGTGAGCATGGACCCTCTGAATAGCTAAAGGAACATCACTCGCCACTGAATAGTGAAAGGCCTGCTTACATACATTATTACCTGTTCTCACCTCATTTATTTGCAATTTGCTATTCTCCCATGTGGCAGAGAGAAACGAAATTCCAAGTATGGAAGTCAGAGGGTACTTGGCAGCTGCAGCTTTCTACTTTGCTGCCTCCTTCAGAACTTACACAACCACGGTATTTATGTCTTGCCTTGCCTTTTATTGCAAACACAATGTCAGGCAGCTTGCCATGTTTGCCAGCATTGATCATTCAAGAGGGTGGTCACATTGCTATACGCCACTACGTGAATCAATGTCACACCTACAGCATGTGCCAGCTGTATAAGTGACAAGCACATCGAATATTCTTGAAACAAATGGCCAAGTCTCAAAGTCAGTCTTTAGTCAAGTCAAGAGAGACTGTCATTGGTCAGGGTATTTTGCCACAGTCAGGGTATTGTCCAATCTCAGTTGTGGTTAATTGGCAATTTGGTGTAATCAGGGTCAGGGGTTAGTATTGTTACAGTTTGGGGAGTGGACCATGGTCAGTCTTGAAGGTCCAATTCATCTAGTGAGCAGACTAATGGTTAGTTATTCAGGGAGCTATTCAGGAGATCATTCAGGGGTTGGGTCACTCATTGATCAGAGCTGTCCACCTGGGTTGTTCAGGGGAGTGGGCCATATTCGGGTATCAGGGGCCACTGCTTTGATAGACAAGTTGGATAAGTCACTTATAAACATTGGAGACAGCATGGTGGGATGCAGAGGGGACAAAAATAGACAATTCAACAAACAAAGGTGAGAGATGATAGTGCATTGGAGGACACAGCTTACTATATCAGGGGCCAACAATGGTCCCCATCACCCTGGCTTTAACATGGGAACAGTGCATCTAAATGGTTGGCATGACTAAGCTAAAGGTTGAGGGCTCAAGCAGTAATGTGGGGAGATGAAGATTGGATGGAACTTGTGGAAGCTCAGAACAGAAGCTGGAGTGGTTCCCGTGAACTGAAGGGATGGGGTGCCATCCTATCCCAGTGGCAGTCAAAGGTGACAACTGCGTTATGTTATAATGCAACTGGCTGTTTCCAGGTATCCACTGGAGACTTATGTGAGATCTCTCAATCCTCAGCACGTAATGTATCAAGGCTGTTACTGATGCAATTGATGCCAGGTTACACTACTCCATCTTATTTCCCTGTGAGAAGGTCAGTGCACAAGTCTGGGCAGTAAGGTTTGCCAACATAGCTGGCATCCCCAGGTGCAGGGCACTATAGACTGTATAAATGTCACATTGAGAGCACCATGTCATAATGAATTCAGCAGAATTCATCAACTGAGAAAACAGTTCCTCCATGTGCAAATTGTCTGTGGTCATCAAGTACCACATCTTAGAAAGCTGCACAGGCACTCTGGGAACTGCCATTATGCTTATACCTTTTAGAACTCATTCTCCTGCTTCATTTTGAGGGTTGAATGCTTTTCAAAAATTGTTACTGGGAGCCAAGAACTGTTCTCTGCAAGTATGGTTGGTGATTGAGTTATGCAAGCCCCAGACAGATGCAGAGCACTGATACAATGCAGCTTTGCAGCACAGACCAGACAGCGTGGTATTGCATAGTCCCAGCATGCTGTGCTCTGCACAACTGGAACAAGCAAAGAGGGGATGTGGTGGATGCTGAAGAGCTGGGACAGCAACAACAGTCTTCTGTGAAGGAAGACGAGGCATTGAGCAGGAAGAATATTACCTTCTACATTCTAGAGCCCTGCAGCATCGGGTGCTGTAGCATGGAACTTAATTGATACCTGGTTCCAGTAGATGTGAGTTGGGTGCAGTGACAGCTCATTGACTGTAAACACACCACATCCCCTCTTTGCCTGCTTTATACAACATAATCACAAGGAATGAGAGTAGGTCATTTGGCCCTTTGAGTCTGCTTACTATCCAATAAGATCATGGCTGATCTGATTTTAAGTTTCTTTCTACATTCCTGCATACCGCTGATAATGTTTTATCCCCTTGGTGATCAAGAATTTCTTTACCGGTGCCTTATAAATATTAAAATATTCTGCATCCTTCTGAGGAGGGAATTCCAAAGATTCTCAACCCTCTGAGAGAAAAATGTTTCCTTATCTCTATTTTAAATGATAATGCCTTTATTTTTAAACTATGACACCTCATTCTAGATTCTCCCATGTCAAGAAACATCCTTGTGCCCGTATGAGATTGATGAAGCATGATGCTGTGCAGCAATATGTCCACCCTCTTGACTGACACCTTTTAACAACCATAACAAGCTGCCTGGCCTTCTGTCTGTGTTGAGGAGGAAGGCAAGACAAAGTACTGTGAACTGAGGCAGCAATGCACAAAAGTGCAAGGCAAGGCAAGGGATATTGTGAACTTCCAAACAGGCGTCAAGTGAACGAGTGTTAAGAGAGCGAGTGAGATGCGGCCTGGTCCAATCCTTGTACAAGGTATCTCTCTCTGTTCACAAAGTGTCGTGTCAGCAGCATTTCAACTAAACGTTTGTTGCCAATGGAGTGTGCCCTGAGATTTTAAGGACCACTGCCCAAGGTGAAGGTCTGCAGGAGCAAACATTGCGCTGCAGTTGTCAGGTAAGGCTGCCTTCTCAGACATCAAGGAGCATGCGTACTGTTGTGTCGGGAGACGCCTGCTCATGCACGAGTGGACGAGGTTCATTGAAGTGTTCCACTCATGTGCCAATTTTCTGCGCATGTGCGGTTTAGCTGGCGTTTGGGAACTAGGATGTTGGGGGGGGGGAGGATCAGGATTGGTGGGGTGCAGAGGTAGTTGAGATCGGGATCCAGGAGGTGGGGGCTGTGGGGTAGAATGGGAAAAGCCTCATCAATACCCTCCCACCACCAGACCGATAACTCCCCGCCTCGTCCAGTCTTCTCCCAATTCCACCCCCGCCGGATACCCTTGGGTGGTCTTTCCTGCCACTAACCCCGCCCCTCCCTAATTACGTATTCTTTGCACGTGCACAGGCCCGCACTTTGCTCATGATTCAATGACGTCTGCACCCGTGCCCATGCGCATTTCCACATAAGTGCGCAGACGCTGTCGGTCCAGAACCTGCAGACATTGCCGCCACCGACTCTAATTTTGGGAATTATTGCCATCTAGTGGTGGAGCCAGGTTCAGTTGAGGCGATCAATGGGTATTCGATAATTATTTCGATCATGTGCAGGCGTGGGCAGCGGGGAAGTGGGAAATTGCCCTGCATAATAGTGCTCATTTACAGAGTTGGTGCAAGCACAATAGACCAAACGGCCTCCTTCCCTGCTATAACACTTGCAGAGTCATAGAGATAGTAGGAACTGCCGCTGCTGGAGTCTGAGATAACAAGGTGTGGAGCTGGATGAACACAGGAGGCCAGGCAGCATCAGAGGAGCAGAAAAGCTGGCATTTCGGGTCTGGACCCCACTTCAGAAATGGGGGAGGGGAAGGGGACTCTGAAATAAATAGAGAGGGAGAGGCGATGATGGAGGGTGGATAGAGGACCAGATAGGCAGAGAGAAGACGGACAGGTCAAGGAGGTGGGGATGGAGCCAGTAAAGGTGCGTGTATGCAGGGAGTTGGGATGGGGGTTGGTCAGTTGGGAGAGAGGGGCGGGTAGGTGGGAGGGAAGACGGACAAGTCAAGGACGAGCTGAGTTGATCTTGGGATGAGGTCGGGGGTAGGGAGATTTTGAAGCTTGTGAAGCCACATTGAGACCACTGGGCTGCAGGGTTCCCGAGTGGAATTTGAGGTGCTGTTCCTCCAGCCTTCGGGTGGCATCATTGTGGCACTGGAGGAGGCCTAGGATGGACATGTCATCCAAGGAATGGGAGGGGGAGTTGAAGTGGTTCACAACTGGGAAGTGTAGTCGTTTGTCACGAACCGAGCATAGGTGCTCCACAAAGCAGTCTCCAAGCCTCTGCTTGGTTTCCCTGATGTAGAGGAGGCCACGTCGGGAACAGCGGATACAATAATACCACATTAGCAGATGTGCAGGTGAACATCTGTTTAATGTGGAAGGTTTTCTTAGGGCCTGGGATGGGGGTGAGGTGTAGGGGCAGGTGTAGCACTTCCTGCAGTTGCAGGGAAAAGTGCCAGGGGTGGTGGGGCTAGTGGGAAGTGTGGAATGGACGAGGGAGTCACGGAGACAGCGGTCCCTCTGGAAGGCAGATAAGGGTGGGGAGGGAAAAATGTCCTTGGTAGTGGGGTCAAATTGCAGGTGGTGGAAGTGGCGGAGGATGATGCGTTGAATCCGGAGGTTGATGGAGTGATACGTGAGGATGAGGGCAATTCTGTCTTTGTTGTTATTGCGGGGAGGGGGTGTGAGGGCTGAGTTGTGGGAAACACGAGAGATGTGGTCGAGGGTGTTTTCGACCACTGTGGAGGGGAAATTGTGGTCCTTGAAAAATGAGGACATCTGGGATGTACGGGAGTGGAATGCCTCATATTGGGAGCAGATGTGGCAGAGGCAAAGGAATTGAGAATAGGCGATCGTAGAGCTGTCCAGCATGGAAACAGACCCTTTGGTCCAGCTCGTCCATGCCGACCAGACATCCTAAATTGACGTAGTCCCATTTGGCCAGCATTTGGCCCATATCCCTCGAAACGCTTCCTATTCATATACCCATCCACATGCCTTTTAAATGTTGTAATTGTACCAGCCTCCACCATTTCCTCTGGCAGCTCATTCCAAACATGCACCACCCTCTAGAAAAAACATTGCCCCTCAGGTCCCTTTTAAATCTTTTAAACCTTAAACCTATGTCCTCTATTTTTGAACTCCCCCACTCTGGGGAAAAGACCTTGTCTGTTTACCATATCCATACCACTTTATAATGTGTAGGTGCTGGTGTTGGACTGGAGTGGATAAGGTCAGAACTCACACAACACCGGGTTATAGTCCAACAGGTTTATTTGAAAACACAAGTTTTTGTAGCGTAGCCCTCACCTGACGAAGGGGCTATGCTCCGAAAGCTTATATTTTCAAATAAACCTGTTGGACTATAACTTGGTGTCATGTGATTCATGATGTCATAAATCTCTATAAAGTCACCCCTCAGCCTCTGACGCTTCTGGGAAAATAGCCTCTGTCTATTCAGGCTCTCCCTATAGCTCAAACCCTCCGACCCTGGCAACATCTTGTAAATCGTTTCCAAACCCTTTCAAGTTTCACAACATCCTTCCTATAGCAGGGACACCAGAATTGCATGCAGTATTCGAATAGTGGCTAGTACAACTAAACATTTAAAAGGCAATTGGATGGATTTAAAAATAGGAAGGGTTTAGAGGGATATGGGGCAAATGTTGGTAAATAGGACTAGATTTATTTAGGATATCTGGTTGGCATGGACAATTTGGACCAAAGGGTCTGTTTCTGTGCTGTATATCTCAATGACTCCATGACTGTAAGTCCTTTGTGAGGTCAAGTGGAACTATGGCCAGTCAGGGATGTCACCACAGTCAGTCAAGAGGCTCATCTCATTATAATGCAGAGGGTTGGCCACAGACAGTCAGTGACTTGGTGTTATGAATATTTGACCATCATTTTCTTGGCTATCTGGAGATTGTGCCATGATCAGTACTGCAAGTGATATCCAAATAGTCCTGGGATTATAGGCACACAAGTCAGGGATCAGCAAAAACATCCAACTAAGGCTGGGCGATGCTCAGTTGGGGCTGTCACCACAAATCAGTGCAGGGGATGGGGTAATGATCAAAGATCTTATTAGGCCGGAGTCCATGTTGGGTAAGTGAAAAACTCAAGTCACGGAATGAGCTGCATTCGGTTGTGATAGCAAGGAGACTATGATAGCAAGACCTCACCAGGTTAATGCACAAAATGAAGTTGGAAAGCAAATAGTGAGGATGACCGAAAACATCCACAGAGGGGTATAAACAGGTCAAATAAATAGGCAAAAAACTGGGCAGATGGAATTTAATGTGGGAAAGTGTAAGGTTATGCACCTTGTTAGGAAGAACAGAGGAGCTGAATATTTATGGGAAAGACTGTAGAAAGCTGCAGCAAAGAGGGATTTGGGGCTGTTTCTGCATGAATCACAAAAGCGAGCATCCAACTTCAGCAGCTAATAGGGAAAGCAATGGACTGTTGGCCTTTATTTCAAAGGGAAGAGAGTATAAAAATAGGGAGGTCTTGCTAGAACTATACAAGGCACTTATACCCATACCTGGAATACTGTGAATACTTTTGATTCCCTTTGTAAAGAAATTGGAGGCAGTCCAGAGAATATTCACACGGTTGATTCCAGGTATGGAGGGAATTTCTTATTAGAAGACGGTGAGTAGGCTTAAACTCATTATAGTTTAGAAGAATGAGAGGAAAGCTTATTTAAGTATAAAAGATTCTTAGATGGCTTGACAGGGTAGATGCCGAAAGGTTGTTTCCTCTTGTGGGAGAGTCTAGGACTGGAGGGAATAATCTCAGAGTAAATTGCTACCCAACTAAGACAGAGATGAGGAGGAATTTCTTGTCTCAGAGTCAATCTGTGGAATTCTTTACTGTAGAGGGTGGTTGAGGTTGGGTTCTTAAGTATATTTACAACTGAGATTGATTTGTAATCAATAAAGGGAATCAAGGGTTATGGGAAAAAGGCAAGAAAGTGGATTTGAGAATTATTCGGTCAGCAATGATCTGATAAATGGCAGAGCAGACAAAATGAGCTCAAAATGAGAGTTCTGCTCCTAAATCTTGAATTCTCTCCTATATCTTGAGCTGCTCACACACTCACAGTGGGCAAAATGAGGTTTATTTCTGGTTCGTGGAGACAGCATGAACATTTTTGTGCTTTGAGGACCTGGTATGGGCATTTGCTTTAATCAGGCATTGATAAATTTAGTGATGTCCCATATTTGCCATCAAACAGCATTTCATGCATATTATAAGTCTTGGCCTCAAATAATCATGACCTTTCCATTGTTTATAACAATTGAATACTCGCCATCTCTGCAAGGCTGATGTGATCACAGGTGAACTAAAGTGTTACCTGCATTCGCCAATTTGCAAACAAATTTGACAGGTTTAATTGGTACACACCATGGAGCTGCTATCTTTACACATTGAAGTATAAGCATGTAAGAACGTTGTCTGTTATTCTACGTTTCTTGTGTGCTTTCGGGAGGCGGGGGAAGAGAATAAAAGTGTACCCCTTCTACCCATTTTAGAAATTTCCATATACATACAAACAGACGCACAAAGAGATGAGACAAGACACAAATATTTCAGATGGAGGGTGAACAAAATAAAGTCAGTGAAGCACAGTTCTGGCACCAGTCCAGATGACAGGCATCAATGAGATGTTTACCTTCAGTTCTTGGCTCTTTGAGGAGAACATGAGGTTGTGGACAGACCCTTTCATTCTCACCCTTTCATTCACTGTTTGAGGATTCCCCCTTTCAGTGTCTCTGAAGGTAGTTTCTCTTTTATCCTTTCAATAAGGGAATTTGCATGCAAAGAGAGTAGCTAGCTAACTGTTTCTGAAGAAGGGTCTAGGCCCAAAACGTCAGCCTTCCTGCTCCTCTGATGCTGCTTGGCCTGCTGTGTTCATCCAGCTGTACACCTTGTTATATCAGAGAGGGAGAGAGATGTGTTCTCCTTCATTGACTGGATGTTTCTACTGGATTGTCCATACAGAAAGCTGTAGACGTTTGCCCAAGAACCAATCAAGAAGTTGTTACCCGGCTGAGTATGATTGCACACGCATAACTGGTCCTGGTTGAAAAACCAATCAAAAGTCTGTCACCGGGCAAAACTGGCCTGGTCTCACACCTATGCAGGTGAGTGTCTAGTATGCTACCCCATTGCTTGAATAAAGCAAAATTGTAGATACAACACACAATGAATTCTGGTAACTTTTTTTTTCAGAAAAAGCAACATCTTCCACAGTCATTTGGTTTAAAGCAGTAATGTTCTCCATTTCCTAGTCCACACTCCAAAAAATAAGAGTTGGCTTTACAGGATTAAATTGCCCTCCCGAGAGGCCTCCATGCCATAGTGTATCATGGTCTATGAAGAAGCATCATTTCTGTTTGGTCGGACTGCTTAACAATCACATCACTGAGAAGCTGTTCTGGTTCTGATATCCCCCATATAACACTGATGCACCCATCCTGAATGGATCCAGCAACAACTGCTGCCATGGTTCCTGTCACAGCCCTACACAAATAATACAGCTGGAGGCAGCAATGGCAAAGGTATCTGCAAGCCCAGGAAAAGCAACAACTTCCAGCTTCCTGAGGGGGAAGAAGTAGCAAAAGGTCCCCACAGGATATGGAGGAGGAATGAGGAACCCAGAATCTGCTGTCTATGCTGTAGTTTCCTCAGATGTCCAAGGTTCAATGCTTCAGTATGCTTCATTACAATGTGTAACCTGGTAGAGGCTATGTTTTTAGCATCTTTTCCCAACCAAGCAATGTCTCATGAGACAGAGTTTGGAAGTAAATAGAGTGCTGGATATTATCCAACCTTGAATGAGTTTACACTCTCTTGTAAAACTGATTGATAAAATGAGCCTTTTCATATGGAGGTGCATGCACTTATGAACGATCACACAGTGACACATAAAAGTTGGTATTATGTATGGAACATAAATACCGGCCAGGCCCTATTATAATGCATTCACACTATAACACCTTGGCAGCATTCATGAACGTAGAGGCTGAAGGAACCCTGACATCTGTTGCCATCTTGGATGCTTTCAGAAATGAGCACTGCTTCAAACAATACAACTCCTATTGTCCTTGGGATATATGAAGAGGCTGCTTAACTCTGACATGGTAGCCACTTAACCAGGTCCTACAGCTAAATTGACAGTTGAGCAAACATGAAGGTGGGAAATGCATATATACATGAACAGATGTGAAGGTCTCTTTACAATGATGTATCTCTTGTGCTATCTATATGGCCTCACTGAAGGGCTTTCATCCTTACCCTCCCACTGTATCTAGGTACAGTCCTGGGATCTACAGCTGGGTGGAGGGATTTTGTTTTCTGGATGACCTTTGGGTGACTGTCCCTGAGGATATTTATGGCTACAGGGTCCTTATATGTTGAGAGTGTTCTGCCCAGATGCAGGCTCATCTCTCCTCAGTTGCAACTTCCATACAGTTGAGGATCACAGGCAGCTGGAAAAACACCTTACTGAATCAAAAATAACTGACCTTCCCCAATCATGACTGTGCCTCAATGCATCAACCAGATCTACACAGAGTACAGAAAGGTCCCAGTAGTAAATGCAGGCCCCTGCCCAATTACCTGTTTAGAAGATTATATTCACAGTTGAAAGTGCACTCCTTATCTCATCAGTGACAAAATAGCACCATTAAGGTACTACCTCTCGCACATCTGCTTGCATTCACTATTTAAACATAAAAGGAGGTATAAATCTCAGCAGCTCATGTACCACCAGCTCACTAACCTTTCATCACAACCAGGAGACTGTAGACACGTGATAACTGTTCACCAAGGACTTGCATGGGACAAGGATGCAGCCACAAAAGATGGCCTTTTGAACTGAGCCCCTTTTTGAATTCAGCCCACTTGCCTGGCCTAACTAGGTTTGTTGGCATCAACTAATGTGGCTTCCTCTCTTGGGCAAGTTTGTTCGTCCAGTCAGGTTTCCTCCCTAACACTGTGTTTTACAACATATCAGACGGCCGATGACTGAGATGTTCACTCCTAAAAAGTATTTATGGAAAGAAGAACCTTAGTTATGGATGGGTCGAGTAACCGAAAAGGTTTATACTCATTGGAGCTTAAAAGGAATTTACCTTGCCAGATACGTGCTTCATATATAAAGACATGTTGTGAAACATATTTCCCATTTTTTGCCTCACAAGACTTCACTGGGGTTTTTAAAGCAGTAAAAGAGAACTATAATCTTCCATTTATGCAGCTGATTGACAAATTGGCTGTTTCATAGATTGTTCCTGACCTGGACAATTAAAAGACCAGAATCCTGAAAGAGAATGGAGATCTGAAGTCAGAACCTAAACCCGACAGTTCAAAGACTGTGTTTAAAAGTCGACATCTTCTTGGCAATGTATGTTGCCACAGTAAAACAAAGGTTCATTCCGAAATTGGATTAGAAAAGAAAAAGGAATTAAAATAAAAAAATTCTGTTTCAATTTAGAGATTTGACCGAATGGAATTTGAAAGTCACGGGGATTATCTACAAGTCATAGAGCATTGAAACAGACCTATCAGTCCAACTCGAGCATGCCGACCAAATATCCTAAACTGATCTAGTCCCATTTGTCAGTATTTGGCCCATATCCCTCTAAACCAAATGATTGTGGGTTTCTTGACAAATTTTCTCAGACTGATTTGACTGGGAGATCTAACCCAGCTGTGGAAACACTGACATTTCTTGACAGGAGAAAGGAAATCTACTCTGATGCATAATTGGTAGGCTTTGAGAGTTGAACATTTCTAAGAATATCCCATTGTCAACATCCTGAGGGGCTACCATTGGCCAGAAACTGAACTGGACGACCCATATAAATACGGAGGCTACAAAAGCAGGTCACAGGTTAGGAATCCTGCAACAAGTAACCCACCTCCTGCCTCTAGTACCCAATTAAGGGGTTGCATGTTTAAAACCGAGATGAAGAGGAAATTGTCTCTTCTCAGAGATTTCTGAATCTGTGGATTTCTTTACCACAGAGTGCTGTCAAAGCTGGGTCATTAAATATGTTTGAGACTGAGAGTGACAGATAATCAGTAAGGGAATCAAGGGTTATTGAGAAAAGGCAGGAAAATGGAGTTCAGGATTATCAAATCAGCCATAATCTCACTGAATGGCATAACAGACTCAATGGGCTGAATGGCCTACTTCTGCTCCTACATCTTATTGTCTTATCCCTCGTTGCCCTTCAGAAGATGGTGGTGATCCACCTTCTGAAAGCATTGTAGTTCTTGGGATTTCAGTACACCCATTGCTCTGTGCAGGAAGGAATTCAAGGATTTTGACCAAGCAACAGTGAAGGTTTGTATTTCCAATTCAGGATGGTGTCTGACATGGAAGGGAACTTGCAGCTGGTCATGTTGCCATGCATCTGCTGCCTTTGTTCTTCCAGATGTTAGTGATTGTGAGTTTGGAAGGTGCTGCCTAAGGAGTCAATAGTTATGTACCTACAATGAGAATGCCACTGAATGTCATGGGTTGGATAGTTGGTGATTTAGATTCTCTTTTGTTTGAGGAGATGTTGCCTGGCAGTTGTGTGGCGTGAATATTGGTTCGAGTTTATCTCTGTTATGTACACGCCCAAAACACTGTAGCTGTTTCTTGACCCATTCACAAAGGTTTTCTCGTGTGCCTGCCTTCCTCAGAATTTAATCATTATTTGTATGCGTTTTCCAACTCATTCTCATCTTACGTCCCAGAAACTGCATATCTGTTGCCTTTATTTTCTATTGTATTGCTTCTATTCCAACTCTTGGATCCATATGGTCATGTGGCAATTTCGTACGCATTCCTGTTTGTCATAATAGATGTTTCCACTTCTCGATTCATGAGGATGTTAATCACATTCGCTATTTTCGCGTCTCGTGTATTGGTGCAGTTGCCCAGCGAACGAAGAAAGTTGCAAACAAGAAGCGAAACAATTGTTGCCACGAATTACCCGCGCGACATTTTTCACGACTGTGGTAACCTGCCAGACCTTAAATGAGAGAAAGAACTGCAGATGTTGGAGAAACCCATCAGGTCTGGCAGACTCTGCAGAGAAAGAGAAAGTAGAGTCTACACTTCAAGTCCGGCGACTGTTCTTAGTGGTCCTTTCAAAGTAGGGGCGGGGAGGAAGCTCATGAAGACAGTGACTTCCGGCCGGGGATAACCTCTGACCCCGGTGACGCAGCCAGAAAGTGGTCTACGCGAGGGACCGGCGGCGGAAGTGGTAGTGGGGTGGGGTCGGGTCCTTGCCCTCCCATTGGTTGGAGAGGGCGCGAGACGACCCGGAGGCCTTGGCGCGTGCGCGGTGCCCGGGTTTCGCTCAGCCGCGCGAGAGGCGGCCCTTTCACCCTCTCCCCTCCCCCACCCAACGCTCCCGGACCCGGGAGAGAGAGAAAGAAAAAAAAACATTCGGGAGAAGCAACAGTAACCGCGCTCACCCACCCAGCTAACTGATCCAAACCACAAGGATGGGTGTTCCGGCCTTCTTTCGCTGGCTGAGCCGCAAGTATCCGTCCATCGTGGTGAACTGCACGGAGGAGAAGGTGCGTGATGGCCAAGGCTGCGCGCTGGGCCTTGTGTGTGTATATATGAGACTAGGCCTGAAGCCAACCCGCTGTCTCCCCTCAAATCCTACCTTCCTTCCCACTGTTCCTGGCCGTCGCTATTGCCCCCGATTCCCCCAAGTGTACAGAGGGAGAGGGTAAATCTGAAAACCTCAAGGGTAAGGTTTGTGTTTCCCCTCACCGTGAAAGCGATTGAGTCAAGTGAGAATGCGAAAGCCAGTGTCTTTTCTTCTCTCTCTCGTGGGGGTCAGTTGGTGACTTTTTGCTAATTCAAATCTTCATATTGACACGCATCAACGTTGGTAAATCGTTTCCGACCCGTGGTTTTTAAACTGTCTGTAAAGGTGGGATTTGAGAGTCCAGGATTACTCCGAAATTTTCCAAGCATTGTGATCCTCTCTGTAGCAGACTGGCGTAACTCTCTCTTCTAGAATTACCTCTACTTTACGTAAAATAAACTTAGGTAAGAGTGAGATTCTTTATTAGTCAGGGGATCAAGGATTAATGGGAGAAGGCAGCAGAATGGAGTTGAGAAACTTATCAGCCATGATCGAATGGCAGAGCAGACTCCATGCGCTAAAAGGCCTAATTCTGCTCCTATATTTTATGGTCTTTATATTTTGTTTGCAGCAGAAGCAAAAGGGCTCGTAGGCTGCTGGTAGTTTGAAGTGCAAATGCTGACAGCAGCCTGTCTACAAGGAGGGGTAGAGAAGCAGTTAACAGGTCCAGTCAGTCAAAGGGGAAAGTGAGCAGGTTTTGAACAAGGACGGAAGTATGGAAAAGGGATAAGGAAAAGAACAAAAGGGGAGTTCTGTGACTGAGTCAAAATCAGGAGAGATTTAATGATAAAAGGAATGATGAAGGTGGAATGAGATAATAATGGGATACATGAAGAATCAAAAGATTCGTCTAGCAGGAGTGTAAATAGGAATAGAAGAATCATCAGTTGTTACTGAAAAATAATACTGACTGAGATTATGATCTGAAATTGTGGAACTCGGTGTTCAGTTTAGAAGGCACAGTGCTGCTTAATTGGAACGTGGGACCTGTTTCTCTGATTGTAAGATCTGGACTTGTATTCCAGAGGCCCAGGCTAACTAATGATTTGTTGACATCACATCCAACAGTTGATGGAATTTAAATTTAATTAAAGTTTATGAATTAAGCTTTCATCGACAGTTGTAAAAACTGATCTCATTCAGGAAGGAACTCTGCTATTCATAGAGAGTTAGGTGTACATGTGATTCCAGACCCACAGTTATAAGTTGACTCTTAACTGCCTCTGAAATGGCTCAGCTCGTCTAAGTTCAAAGGTAAATAGAAATGATCAACAAATGCTGGTTTGTCATGTTGACGTGCCACGAAAAAGAACAAAGAAAAATATCAGTGGTCACAATATAACTCAGAAGGGTGCCATTCAGCTGCCATATTAATGCCAACTCTTTGGAAGAGCAGCCTAATAGGTGCCAGTCCCCTATTTATACCTGATAACCTTGCAGCCTTCTTCCCTTCAGGGGCTTATCCAGTTCCTTTTGAAAGCTACAGTTGAATCGCCTATCAATGATAGGGGAGGCGATGGCCTAATGGTGTTATTGCTGGACTGTTAATCCAGAGACCACATAATATTCTGGGACCTGGATTGAATCCTGCCACAGCAGATGGTGGAATTTGAATTCAATAAAATATCTGGAATTAAAAATCTAGTGATGACTGTGAATCCATTGTCGACTGTTGTAAAAACCCATCTGGTTCACTAATGTCCTTTAGGGAAAGAAACTGCCATCCTTACCTGGTCTGGCCTACCTGTGACTCGAGACCCACAGTAACGTGATTGACTCTGAACTCCCCTCTGGGCAATTAGGGATGGGCAATAAATGCTGCCTAGCCATCCCGTCAATGAATAAAAGAAACCTGGATTCTGGATTCTGGATGCCTTTTTGACCGTTTTCTCAATATCCCCTGTCTTTTTCAACAATCTGTACCCATTTACCCCAGGGAGTTTCTGTTCTTGCATTCCCTTTAGGATCGTACCCTATAGTTCACTGCTGGTGTCTTCCTCAGTCAAATGTGTCACTTCAAGCTTCTTTGCATTAAATTTCATCTGTCACGTGTACTTCAGTTCCAGCAGCCTATGTTGCCCTAAAGTCTCAGTTCACAGTTCTTCAATGTTTTGTCATCTGCACATCATTACATGCACAGAGTATAAGTAATTAATGTAGATCGAGATAATCAGTAGTCTGTCTCATGACTCTTGTGGGACCACGCTATACGTGTGCTTTGTTTCCAATCGACGCTCTGAATTTTTATCCATGCTCTCATTGTCCCTTTTATTCATAGGCTTCAACTTTGCTGCAAGCCCATTGTTTGACACTTCTTTCAAATGCCTTTGAATATCCATGCATATCACATCAACTGCACTACCCTCGCCAACCATTATGTCATCAAAACTTGATAAAATCAAACATGGTTCATCTTTAAGGGGTCCATGCTGACTTTCTTTAATGAATCCACACCTTATCCAAGTGACGTAATCTGCATTTGGTCTACACAGTATAAAGGAGACTTTATCATGAGAATGAATATAATATACAAGATTGAAAGCAATTCAAATAGATTGCTTTCCTTGGAAAAGAGTATTTACTTTATAAAGTCATACAGCATGGAAACAGACCCTTCGGTCCAACCCGTCCATGCCGAACATAATCCCAAATTAAGCTAGTCCCACCTGCCTGCTCCTGGCCCGTATCCCTCAAAACCTTTCCTGTTCATGTACTTATCAATGTGTCTTTTAAACATTGTAATTGTGTCCACATTCACTATTTCAGTTCATTCCACACACGAACCATCCACTGTGTAAAAAGATTGCCCCTCATGTCTTTTTTAAATTTCTCTCCTCTCTCCTTAAAAATGTGCTCCCTAGTCTTGAAATCTCCTATCCCAGGGAAAAGGCACCTACCATTAACTGTATCTATACTCCTGATTTTATAAGCTCAACCTCCTACTCTCCAGTGAAGAAAATCCTAGCCTATCCAGCATTTCTTTATAACCCAAACCTTCTCTACCCAGCATCATCCTGGTAAATCTCTTCTGAACCCTCTTCAGTTTAATAATATCCTTCCCATAACTGGGTGATCAGAACTGGACATGGTACTCTTGGAGAGGCTTCCCCAGTGTCCTGTACAACCTCAACGTGATTTCCCAACTCCCATACTCAGAGATCTGAGCAATGAAGGCAAGCGTGCTAAATGCCATTTTAACCAACCTGTCTATATGTGATGCAAACTTTAAAGAATTATATACCTGAACTCCTAGGTCCCTCTGTTCTCCAACACTACCCAAGGCCCTACCATTAATTGTACAAGTCCTGCCCTGTTTGTTATACCAAAATGCAATATTGTGTTAATCCAGATTGAACTCCAGCTGCCATTTTACAGCCCATTAACACATTTGATCAAGATCCCTTTGTAATCTTAGAAAACTTTCTTCATTGTCTACTGTGCCACCAATTTGGTGTCATCTGCAAATTTACTGACCATACCTTCTATATTCTTATCCAAATCATTTATGTCAAAAAGAAACAAAAGAGCACCTAGCTCCAACACTGCTGGTGACAGGCCTCCAGTCCAAAAACCAACCCTCCACCACCATTCTTGTCTCCTGCCGTTAAGCCAATTATGTATCCAACTAGCAAGCTCCCCCTGAATCCCATCTGACCTAACTTTGCTAATTAGTCCACCATGACCTGTCAAAGGCTTTACTAAAGTTCAAGTAAAGCACGTCAACTCCTCTGCACATATCCTAATATACACATTTTGGTAATTTCCTCAAAAAAACTCAGTCAAGTTTGTGAGACACGATTTTCCTTGCATGAAACCAAGCTGACTGTACCTAATCAGTTTGTGCCTCTAAATGTTTATATAGCATATCTTTTAAAATTTTACCAACAATTTACCCACAACTGAAGTCAGACTTACAGGTCTTTAGTTCCCCAGTTTCTCCTTACAACCCTTCTTAAAGAAATGTACAACATTAGCCATCGTCCAGTCATCAGGCACATCATCAGTAGTTATAGATGATGCAAATATTTCTGCAAGGGGTCTTGCAATTTTCTCCCTTATTTCCAAGAGCATTCAGGGATACATTAAATTAGGTCCTGGAAATGTATCCACCTTCATATTCTCGAAGACCTCCAGAACTTCCTCTTCTGTAATGTGAACTGTTTTCTAAAACATCAGTATTTATTTCCCTGCATTCCCTAGCCTCCATTTATTTCTCCACAGTAAAAACTGATGTGAAATATTCATTTAGTATCTCTCCCATGTGTTCTTTGATGGTAAGAGGGCCGGAGGTGTTTTTTTATTTTAAAAAGCAGGCTTTTTGTTTCCTGCACTTGCATGGGAAGTGGTATTGGAGGAGTGGACCACAGTTCTGCAACATGCTAAAAGGTCTGATGGAATATTGGAGTATGATTGATGGTGACATCATGTAGGTGTAATAAATGTTCAGAGAGGCTTGAAACAGCAATGGAACTTCATTGTGATTCTGGGAAGCAATAAACTTCACGTACTCTGTTTTCTAGGATCCAATCCTTACCATTATCATTTAAAACCAGTGACCCCACTACCGAACGTTGAGCCATTATTTCCAAGCCTGGCACTGACTATATCTTCTGGAGATCTTCAGTCAACAGCTTTCCATGTTATAATGTACTAATTGCATCTTTCTGTCCCCTTTTTGAATTCCAAACTTACTGTAACCCTGGTACGTTCTTCAGTCACCTCTAATAATGACATCTCCTCTTAAACAAGTGCAGGAAATGACCTTTTTCTGATGAAGGGTCGAGGCCCGAAACGTCAGCCTCTCTGCTCCTATGATGCTGCTTGGCCTGCTGTGTTCATCCAGCCCTGCACCTTGTTGTCGCAGGAAATGACATCTCCTTTAAATTGGGGAAACCAGTTGCAAATTGGGCTTTGTGGTAA